AAAAAACATGCCTCCTAACTCAGACATAGGTAGCTATAACATCTACGTTCATGTGTTAACCTGAGCAACTATTCCATCCACATCGCTATTAGTTGCTTGATCTATATTCTATTTCAGGAAGATATCTAAAAATAACAAAAATCAACAATTAAGTTTTTGTTACACTTTCAAATCTATCCAAGCCACACACAAAACTGATTTCAGTGCTTTTAGCACTATACACGCTTAAGTAATTGACAGGCAGTGAATGGTGACAGCTTGGACTCTAGCAAGGTTCGTTCTGTGAGCTGCAGGGACTAGTAAGAGGACGGAACCGACTTAAGACCACGTAATAGAACACACGGGAAAATACATTAGAGAGACTAGAGCGGACAGAGGACAAGCCATTTACGCCTACCACAATTGTTCTTCTTTCTGCCTTTTACCTCCTTCGGTCTATGCCTATCTTTGTCATATCTGCCAACTATTTCTAGCTTCCATTTTAAAGAAGGTACGTTAGTTCGAATTATGGGGCAGGCAGTATTATGTCAATAGACTTTGTTTTATACTTGAAGAACAACAAAAGATTCTACTAGGAAAAAAAAGCAATAAAACCTGTAACTAATCTGTTCTTGGTCACTCCACGTACAGAGGATTCAGGAACGATAACGTTCAAGCGAAGCCATTCAAGTCTTAGGAAACGTTTCTCAGTTTACCACAGTCGTCTCCCTTAGCATAATAATTTGTTACATTACAGTGCGTGTTCAAGGGCCTCACTGTGCAGTCTGATTTGATTTGATTTGATTCAAGAACCGACATCACAGCACTCGGGGCATTCACACAAGCGCTCCGTCCCCATCTTCAGCAGCCAGCGAAGAGTTCTGATACTAATGGTGCCAGTAGCATTCTGATTAAACGTCCGTCTTGCCTTTCCTCTGAGCCTCGAGCATCTGCCAGAACCTCTCGTAGCCCCTAACTGCATCAATCTCACTACACTGTGGTGATCAATCTGCTCCTCAGAACTGTACAAGCTCTCCCACAATTCACTAACCACGTCTGCCTTATCATGCATCCGTATTCTACAAAGCTGTGCAGAGCCAGCCAGTCTGTCCGCCTGTTCATTTCCCAACCCACCGTTTGGTGAAAAAATCCAGACAATACTCCTCATCCGTGTTTTCCGCAGCGAGGTATGCCACTCTGCACGAAGCATGCCTGTCCTGATCTTCCTCAGCATGCTTTCTGAGTCAGTTACAATCACAATGTGTGTGTGTGTCGTGTTCTCTAGCCAGGGGAAAGCTGCAGTGACCGCCTCCACTTCCATTCTGAAGCTGGATGTTGTGGTATCATATGCTAGGCTCTCCTGCACCAAAAGTCGACCATTAACTTTTGCTAAGAAGCCCCAAGCACTTATTTTGCCTCTTGACACTGAACCGTCTGTGTAAATGATCAAATCTTCTGAGCGAGCATTATCTTGAATTTCTTGCTGAATTTCCACCTGTGTAGCACCTGCTGGCCAGTCTCTGCAATATGTGGAAAAGATAAATAGACATATCAAGCATGTCGTAAAAGACTGCTCAAAGTAGTGTTTCATTCAAAGCTGGAATGCATCTGAAATAAAGCGACGAACCAAAAGTCCTATACAAATAAGCGAGATCTGTAAAACTTATTATAGAACAATACCTAAATTTAGAAGTGGGCGAACTACCAGTCTTTAGCGTGAGTTAACAGCCGGTAAACGATAAGAAGAGTAAAAAGAAGAAGAAGAAGAAGAAGAGGAAGAAGAAGAAAAAGGCATGGCTGTTTGTCCAAATTTTCAGCCTTTGAAATAAAGTTGATTCGTCCGTACAAAATGTCCTTATGTTTGATTATACATCTTTGAATCATTTAGTTTTTTTTTTTTTTTTTGTGTGTCTGTGTATCGAGTTTCAGTCCGAGCGCTTCCTTGACTCTTTATCAGCTATTGTACTTCGCTTTTAACGAAGCTGTCCTCATCTAGACAGACGAAATACGTAACTTATTGTAGCTATTCGATTTAGATTTTCTTTTTGGGTGGGGGGGGGGGGGATGAAAATTCGGGAGGAATGAACTTGAGAACGTCGTAACTGCTAGCAGGTTTGATAGAAAGAGAGCAAGACGAAGATGCTGAGATAAATGCCTAGATGGCCTGGATGGCACGGATGGATGGAGACAAAAACATTGAACTTATCCTTATTTTTGGTGATCGTTTGAGATAGCAAAACATGACAGCCTATGGTTATCGTCGCGGCAGATGATGATAACGACTGCTCTTTTCCTGCGATAAAAATGATCTTTAGTAAATGGCAAACGGAACATGTGTGTCTCCTTGTCTGTTTCCCAGTCCTGACTGTTATCCAAGGGGCGTGCCCTGCTCCAGCAAAGGGCTTGCCCTGAGGTCCTGCCCAGGTTGGGTTCTTCCGGCATGACTCAACTGAAATTTAACACACAAACTATCATCCATTTATTTTTGTGGTGAGCTCTTCACCGACGTGTCTAAATTCGATTCTCCTCTAAAATGATGTCTAAATCGCACTTGTAACTTCATTGCCGTAATCAAGAAAACACACATATCCATTATTGTATCTGTTTAATCAAGAGAAAATATGTACACACTATTCCGCGTCACTTTAACACAGACAATCGTTGAGCAGTTCGAGCTGGCCCACGAGCAACTCGGCTGTGACTCCAGTTTCAAACACCATAAACGCACACAGACAGAAATGCATGACAGTCCACAGGTGTCGTCAAGTCTACACATGAACCGTTACGTCACATCATTAAATGTCATGTATAGTTAACAAGTCTGTTGAGGCTCTGTTCAAACCTAGTTCGAGAAATCCATTCAAGATACTGATCGGCTTCCACAGAAGCGAAGAAATCAAAAAGAGTTGAGTTGAGTTGATATAAAAACCGACATCACAGCATTAGGGACATTCTCACAAGCGCTCGGTCCCCATCTTCAGCAGCAAGCGCAGACTTCCAGTACCTATGGTGCCAGTAGCATTCTGATGAAATATCCGTCTTGACTTTCCTCTGAGCGTCGAGTGTCGACCAGAACCGACGTCACTTCCTGCTGCATCGCTCTTATCGGACTGTGTTGATCAGTTCGCTCCTTAAACTGTTAACGCTCTCCTACACGGCCCTAACTACCTCCGCCTTGTCATGCATTCATATTTCACTAAGTTGTGAAGTGCCAGCCTGTCTGTCCGCCTGTTCATTTCCCACAACACCGGCGCGAACTGGAGAAAAATTTACAGAGAGTAGTCCTCACACGTGACAATAGTCCCCACCGGTGACCTCATCGCTTACTGAGTCAGTTGCAATCACGATGTGTACACTCTGCACCGCCTCCACCTCCATTCTTAAGCTGGATACTATGGTATCATATGCTAGGCTCTCCTGAACCAAAAGTCGACCATTAGTTTGGGCTTAAAAACCCCAATTACTTCTTTTGCCTCTTGACCCTGATCTGTCTATATAAATAACCACATCCTCTGAGCGAGCATTATCTTGAAATACCTGCTGAATGTCCACCTCCGTGACACCTGCTGGCCACTCTCTGCACTCCCGGTGTAAAGAGGAAGAATTCAGTAGTGAACAGAGAATACATACGCTTCTTGTTGCAACAGGTGCTCTAATTACAAAACGCCGAGATGTCAGGCGATCATTTCGCCAACTATCCCATGATAGTGAACTTTCAAGCACAGGGTGATCTGATCTCATGTGTCCACGTCGACCTGGTCGAGGCTTGCCTTATAGTTGAAATGATTCACTTTTCCAGAAAAGAACCGAAAGTCAACAAAACATTAATCCAAACGAAGACAGCTCCACAACCAAATGCACGGCCAATGTGAAACCCCATTTTTAGACCACATGTCTGAATCCCAGTATAGCCACTACAGCTTTACATTTTTCAAGTTGTTTAGTGTTTTCCTTATTTATATTTTTCTCTGACTTGTTTGCATGAGCAGCAATACTTGTGACTGTAGTGTTCAATATATCTCAATGGCATTACAGATACTCCAACAGTTGACAAGGGCAGTGTGACAAATACACGAGTATTGCAACTGCAATAATTCGAATCCACCCTTTGTGTGAGTGTGGGTGGGGAGGTGTGTGTGTGTGATGTATGTGTGTGGGGTGAGTGTGTGTGTGTGTGAGAGAGAGAGAGAGTGTGTGGGGTGAGTGTGTGTGTGTAGGTGTGTGAGAGAGAGTGTGTGTGTGTGTGTCAGTGTGTGTGTGAGAGAGAGAGAGAGAGTGTGTGTGTGGGGTGAGTGTGTGTGTGTGTGAGAGAGATAGTGTGTGGGGTGAGTGTGGTGTGTGTGTGAGAGAGAGAGAGAGAGAGTGTAGCCTTATAACTTGTTGGCTTATTGCAGCAACATGTATTATGACTAGTCAGGTTTTACATTTATTACTTCGACATCTGCAAATTATTGCAATGTCTGTAAATTGTCTTGTTTTTTTACGCCCACCTTTGCTACGTATTACTGTGTTAATTAATTCACTGAATGAAATTATTTAGTTTGTTAGTAAGTCGACGTATTATCCCATTGAAACTCGAACTATTCGTTCAATAAGCGCTTTGGATTCTCTTCTCAGTAGATCCTGCAGCCTGTAGTGGTTGACACCAGTTGTGTTTTATTCTTCTTTGACTTCCTTCATATTGCTCTTGATCGGCCACACTCTTTTTAACTTGCTGTTCTTGCAGTCTGGTTGCAGATCCACAGTCACTCAGCTCTCGCAAAGGAAGTGCACCTCAGAGCATCGTCTATTTGCGTGTGCACAATGACCAGATGTCCTTCTCTTGGTTTAGTATGACCATCTTCTGGCTGGGAGAGTTTGAAATGACGAATGTTTTCCTAGAATTACTTTGTGTCAGATTTCCTTTAAATTTTCTTAATCCCATTTGGGTTTTCTAAAGGTAGAGCTAACAAATCCATAAGTATTTATATTTAGTACCAGCCAAGCCATGTGTCATTTTAGTATTTATTGTTGTAACGGTTTCATCGACGGTTTGTAGAGGCGGACCAGCGGACTTTGTTGTAGGCAGATGAACGTGGGGTTTTGTTGTCATCGGCAGTGTTCGTTAACTCGTAGGCGTCGGTGGACACGCCACTGGCTGGGGTTCGGTAGTAAGCGGCCGAGGAATACTCACGAGATCGCGTACTACCGTTGTAAATAAGCTGTCGACTGTTGACCGTGGTCCGAGCTGGACACAACTTGAGATTCTTCACATATTGTAGATTGATACTAAACAGTAGAAAGATGTACGGGTTTACCGCAGAATTTGCCACAGCGATACCACCTAGAAGGGCGTATACACCTTTGCTGAGTTTGGTATGGTCGCCATAGGATATGATCATTTCAGCAAAGAAGTATGGCAGTCCGCACACGATGAAGCAGCTCACAATAACCACAGTCATCTTCAAGGTCTTGTACTTGGCGCTGTGTAGAGTAGCCGATGTCGTGTTGCTGGTCAGATGTATCTTTCCTGGCTTGAAGCTCTGGCGTTTGTTGGTTCGACTGTCGGAGGCTTTCCGGGCAATCTTGAGGAAGATCCTCACGTAGCAGATGATGAGGATGACCAGGGGGATGAGAAAGTTGACCAGGGTGGCGTACGTCAGGAAGGCTTGGCGATGGAAGATGGGCTTAGAGCGGAAAATGTTCTCGCAGACTGTCTGGTTCTTGGACTCATCGTACCTGACGTGGAAGACGTACAGTAGAGGGGTGGAGCAGAGAAGGGCTATACCCCAGGCTAGAGACACCATACCCAGCACCTGCAATACAGGCATGTCATAATTACATCAGATAAGGGCGTATTAACAACTTACACATAGACTGTAAGAAAATCTACCGATTTACAACGTATTTACAACTTACACATAGACCGGCAGAAAAATCGACCGATTTACAACTCACATATTGGTTAGTTCCGTATCCTTTACAGGACGTTGCAGAACCAATCCCAGCAGCCCCTGGCTGTTGTGTGGTTTCTCTAGGCAAATTTACAGTAGTTTGCCATTGCTTTCTTGACGGTCGGCTCCCTGATACCACTGTTGAACCCAACACAAGGCGCATAGCCCGCAGCTGGGATCGAACCCGGCACCCCGGCATTACGAAGCGTTCGAATCGACTTAGCCACAGAGCCGATTCAACTTACATATAGATAAGAAAAATATACCGATTTGCAACGTCTTTACAACTTACACATAGACCGGCAGAAAAATCTGACGAGTTACTACTTAAATATAGACTGTGAGAAAATCTACCGATTTACAACGTATTTACAACTTACACATAGACCAATCTACCAATTTACAACATACCAAAAGGACAAGAGATAACTATACCGATTAGGACGGTACTCATTGTGACAGGAGATAAATATACCCATTTACATCTTACATGTAGATAAATGTAACGATTTATAATGTCATTATTAGAATTTCTATTCTCCTCAGACTGTAATATTAACCAGAGACAACATTGCAGACATAGATAATATATTTCAAGCGAATGAAAGAAGAAAACGAAGAAGACCGTAATAATCTATATACCTATCCGCACTCCTGAAACGTTCCCAAAGGGCCCTCACAAAATCTAGCTTGTCATACTTCTATTTACAACCAAGTGGTGCAGAACCGACCAGTACATCTACCTGCTCATTTTCCTACACACCGGCACAACCTGGAGAAAATATCCTAAGGATGCTAACTACCCGGGACCTCTGAATTTAAGCCTGCCACTCTGCATGAAGCATGCCTGTCTTCACCTTTCTCAAAAGGCTCTGTGAATCATATACTGACGTCACCTGGGTGTAGGTTTTCATTAACCAGCTCTTGCATCTTCGGTCTGAAGTAACAATCACTCTTTGCAAGGCTGTGTTTATGGGAGATTTATTCCACGTCATGCGCTATTTTGTCAGTTGTACAAGCAATTCTGATCGTGGATTCTGTCTGTGTCATTCATGAGCTACCAGATGTCTCTTGCTATCCCCCAAGGTCTCATACAGAAAATGATCCCTGTCAGTTGCGTCTCGCCGGTACAATGACCCAGTAGCATCTTTGATATACAGACAGCAATGCAAGTGTGGGCCGCATGAACGTGATTGGCGTGTCTCCTGTACAAAACGAATCGCTTGGCTTCATTTTGTCTGTCCGCTAGCTTGTCTGTTTGGGTGTGTCTTGAAGTTAGCTTTGCGAAACAATACATTTCCATTCATGTCCGTCGTGATATATATATACTGTTGAGAATGCATCTGTAATATAAATAGTGTGACTGCAGTTGAGCTGAAAGCAGACTAAAAAGCTAAAAAAAAAAAAAAAAAAACGCAAAAAACAAAATCGGGCGTTTCGGAATAAGTCTTCATCGACAAGTGGCAAAAGAAGAAAATGGGACATCATGGACCCCAGCCCTGGCTCTTGAAACAAGTTGACTATAGGAGAATCTACAAGAATACTTGCATATGCAAATGATATTATTGTTGTAAAAGAAAATGAACTAGAGACTGTTAAAACACTGACTCTCTTTAAAGAAGCAGCTCACAAAATGAGACTAGTTATTAATCAAGATAAGACAGAATGCATGATAATAATAAGACAGGAAAATGATATAAACTCTGGCCACACACAAGTCTATAATATGAAAATCAAAGGAACGGATTCATATAAGTATTTTGGTGAAAACAAATAGAGCGAACAAATAGAGTCTAGAATGTCTGAAGCAATAACGAAATTCATAATTTGTTTAAATCACCATTGATCGCTGTCATAATGAGATCTAAAAGATTGAAATGGCTGGTATATTGAGAGAATGTCAAATGACAGAGAGGTACAACTTTATACACAAGGGATCTGAATGGTGGCAGACCATGAGGTAGACCAAGAAGACGATGAAGAGATCATGTCCAGACATACTTTCGAACACTTAGTGTCACTAACTGGAAAGAGAAGGCAAACCAGAGAGATGAATGGAGGCGGGTGATATCTGCAGCAATGAATCTCAAGGGCTCAAAGCTCTGAAGAGGAAGAAGAGTTTACAAGGTAAGAACGACGCTGACAATAAACCACAACGGAACATAAAATGGAGGAACAAGGAGAGATGCTGCGAAACGAAACATGAAAAAGTAACATTATTTACAAAGACAGCCTAGCATTTGTCTTCAGTTTCTGTTGGTTTAATTTATTCATGGCCGACGACTGCACACAGACGTGAATGCATAATGTACCAACCTACAGCTCGTACTCTCTGGACGACATGACTACTGATACCTTTCCCAAACCTCTCTGTACCGATGGCGTTCTGACTGTGCTAGGGCTATTCTGAATAAAATTTCCGTTTGTGGTTACCATCGACCTTACAGATGGAATATATCTCAACTTGGTTCCCTGCAGACAGAGCAGTTATCTTCATCGTCTCCTTGTGGGATGTAATTTTTCGTTATTTTAAAGTCTCGCCCTGGCTTTTGCGGCCAATATAACGCAGCCATAAATTTAGTCTAATGGCTTAAACACGGTTTCTAGGACCTCTCCACGGGTGATCCACATCCACGTGGTGGCACTTTGTGTCATCGGGTGTTTATCGAATGTGTGATGTCCTGGTGGGGTCGAATGTACTACTACTACTTCTACTACTACACAGCAGGACGGAGAATAGTGCGCTTGCCTGACGGTTCGGTGGTCGTAAGTTCAGTTGTAGTAGGCGGTGCATGGAGACCATGGAGTTATGTCCCTGGTTTTGGAAACAGCGATTGCTATGACTGTGGAGTTCAATGCGCTAGTGACAGACAGTCTCTGCCACACACACCACATAAAAACGTTGATATTCTGTTATCCTGAGAATGGCTTTTCTCTCAGAGATCTCCTCTCTTTACATCTTGCTGCGTTTGGCCTCATTCAAACGGCGATAGCCCGTCTTTTACCGTCTGCCTCCGAAGGAGTCGGTCTGTAGCTGATTTTTCCTAACTCGTTAAACTCAATTCCCCATTTGAAAATGGTTTTTAAGTTGAGCTAACAGTCACCTCGACCTACCTATGAAACAGCCTTCTAAGAAATGTTAACGAAAGTAAAGGGGTCCTCGTGGTATTGAGCGTACCACTCATGAAGTTCGGAGTGGTCAACAAATCATAGAGCTGACACAACATGATATCGTCTCAAAACAGTTGGTACGGGTCACATAGGTTGGAAGTGTTTTTTTCTGTCACTTTTTTTTTTTTTTTTTAAGATTTTTATGCTCTAAATGCCTGTTCTTGCTCTTGATGGTGTGTTGTTAGTTAAGTTGAAAAGTTAGCGTCAAGACGATTGACTTCTTTGAATTTGATTATGCCATGAAGTTCGATCTCTCTCTCTCTCTCTCTCTCTCTCTCTCTCTCTCTCTCTCTCTCTCTCTCTCTCTCTCTCTCTCTCTCTCTCTCTCTCTCTCACTCTCTCTGTATGTGTGCATAGTGGCTAGCCGCTGGCCAAGAGTGACACTCACAATAGGAACTTGCTTCACAGCCCCTGCGAAGATCCCAGCAATTTGCTCTGAAACCATTCTTCTGAAATGAACGATGTCTCCCTAAAATGAACTCACCGCTTTCAATGCGCGAAGCAGATGGTGTGACCACCTCGTCACGGAAAAGAATACTATGAAATATGACTCGCATAGATTATTACTCTTCATCGCTCTTTTACATCGGAGAGCAAACGTAAACATAAACATCCATTATCTGAATCCTCAGATGGTGCTAAATTTATCAAATATGGTCATTTAAACAAGATACTACTAACGTGCTCTTTAAGAAAAATGAATAGAATATCATAGAGGGATGGACAAATAAACGAAGCAGTCCTCGTCAAGACAGATGAAAGTTGTAAACCTATTAAAGCTAATAGACGTAGATTATCTGTGTTTTCTGACGTAGATTGTCTGTGTTTTCTGACGTAGATTGTCTGTGTTTTCTGACGTAGATTGTCAGTGTTTTCTGACGTAGATTGTCTGTGTTTTTTGACGTAGATTGTCTGTGTTTTCTGACGTAGATTGTCAGTGTTTTTTGACGTAGATTATCTGTGTTTTCTGACGTAGATTGTCTGTATTTTCTGACGTAGATTGTCTGTGTTTTCTGACGTAGATTATCTGTGTTTTCTGACGTAGATTGTCTGTGTTTTCTGACGTAGATTGTCTGTGTTTTCTGACGTAGATTGTCTGTGTTTTCTGACGTAGATTATCTGTGTTTTCTGACGTAGATTATCTGTGTTTTCTGACGTAGATTATCAGTGTTTTCTGACGTAGATTGTGTTTTCTGACGTAGATTGTCTGTGTTTTCTGACGTAGATTGTCTGTGTTTTCTGACGTAGATTGTCTGTGTTTTCTGACGTAGATTATCAGTGTTTTCTGACGTAGATTGTCAGTGTTTTCTGATGTAGATTATCTGTGTTTTCTGACGTAGATTATCTGTGTTTTCTGACGTAGATTATCTGTGTTTTCTGGACATCTGATGAGACACAGTGGACGTGAGAACTCAGTAACAACTGGCAAGACTGATGGAAAGAGAGCAGGAGCAAAGCAATGCGATAAATACCTGAATGGTCTGACTGCACTGATTGGGGGGAACAAAACGTTGAGATTATCTGTGATTCTGGTGATCCTATCAGATGGGGGAATACGTTAACCTACGCTTAACGGCACGGCATATGATGATGATGATGATGACTACTGGTGTAGAGATCGTAAAACTCCTAGCAAAAATCATCTGCATGTTTATACACATGACCCTTAAGGTCTTGCAGCGACTTGGTTT